TGACGTTCCGCCGCGCTGATGAGTCACCCTTCAGAGTCTGTCGTCTTGATATCGCGTTCCATCTCGAAAGTTCATTCCTCATCGAGACGGGACGAAATCCTGAGGTCGGACGTGATTGGATGCATTAGGTCAGCGAGTCTCGGGATCGGGATGGTCGAGTTTCCCGCTGGACGGAACAGACGGGAAACATGCCGGGACCTCGGAATCATCGCCTAATCATCGCTCGAGGGGAATCTACGCTCCGACCGGCCCTCCGAATGGAAGAAAAAAGCCTCACCCCATTTTTCGATGCAATGTCTATGGCAAAACATGATCCGTCGACGAAGGCATTGGATGCAGTTCTTTTTTATTCATTGTTCTCGGTGGGAAACTCTGTCGATTGAATGAGCAATTCTTCTGAATTCCCTTGAGCTGAACGGCTTCAATCTTTCTTAAATCCCCAAGTGTCCGCGATTGGACCGAGCACTGGCCACGTGATCCGTTCGGGAGACGCGAGGAATTTCTTCATCGCTGGCAGATTCTCAATCCTCTCCACGTAAGCGACCAGGTTCGGGTATTTTGCCAAGGAGTCTGCGAATGGAGAGAAGGAAAATCTTGTGAGCGCACAGTGGATAACGCCTCGCGCAGATGAATTCGAGTGGGCAGCCTGCGCTACCCCTGGAAGCCTTCAGATCTGCGAGTCATGAACGCGCTCGACTACAATGGCCTGAGCAGAGAAACATCGCTCACCAGGGTTGATCATTTTCTGCACGTCTAGGGTCTCGTAGAGGATGAGATCGACGTAGCAAATATTATCACCCATGAGGAAGAATTTGTCCTTGAGCCAAGCGGCAACGCTCTCCAGCTGTCTAGGAATTGACGCGGGATAACCCTCCGGGAACCTGAAGTCGATGATTTTGCTCCCGATGCCGTAGTGCACGTAGAACCACCTACAGAATAATGTTGAAGATTACAGAGAAGCGAATCAATCGACGACTTCCAGCGTGACTCGAAGTCCAGACCGTTTCGGGATCCTACCGAAGATCGTCGACTTGATTCTCGATCATGTCGAGCTTGGCATGTTCCTCAGGCGAAGCGTCTGCGGCGATACCGAGGAGTCCAGCCTTCCTGGCGATGTACTTCAGGATCGCTGTTGATTGAGTCAAGCGGAAGTCTCCATCGATGAGATAGGGTAGGTTCGGGAACTCGAAGCCGAGCGTGTTCTTCACCTCGAACCACCGGTTCCTGAACTCCGGGCTCGAAGCACCACCTGGGAGACTCATATTCTCAGATTAGGTTGACGCAGAACTTCTTCTCGCGGTTGAGCTTTCAACTTCTGGTTCTTCTGACCGGAACAGAAGGCGTACGAACTCACCGTCGAATTCATATGCAACGAGCTCGTACTCGAGTCCGGACACCTCGAGGAGATACTGGATCGGAGCGAATAAACCTCTCAGCTTCCAATATCCAAGGATCAGTTTTGGCATTGTTGCTCGAGCGATTACGACCGGACGTCAAAATTACGAGCAGCTTCGAGAGGCTCTGCCAGTCGCACCGCCACGACACGATGAAAACGAGGGTGAGAGAACGCATTTCTGGGGAGAGAGCGATCCGACGGTCAATTTGTGTAGCTGTCAGCTCAATCTCAGCGCTGTTTTCTCTTTGGCAAGTGACTCCGATAACTATGTACGTATTTTCCGGGGCAAAAAAATCCTGGTACACTCCTTGGGAAAGTCTCTCGCGAATGATGATCGGAGTCGAAACCTGGAGCAATATCCCCTCATATCGGGTCAGCCCGCGAACTGCGAGCGCCGAACGTATGAGTCTCCCGCATTGATTTTTCGTTGTCTCTCGCTGTTTTCGAGGACGCCATCCGAGTCATGTGCCGGCTCGTCCTAGCATAGATCCATGGAATCCCACAGGCTCCTCTGAGCATCTAGAGCTCCCTTGGCAAGGCTCGTCATGACCTTGGCCGGAGGCTAATCGAGTTTTCCTCTTTTTGCTCATGATTCACTCAGTCATGAAAATATGTGAGAGGGAAGAGCGGTGAGGGCACGTTGGGCCGGGTCGTGGCGTGGAAAACCACGGCCCGTGGTTTTCCGCGCGGAATTTTCGAATATGGCGCCATAGAACGCTTTGTTGACGCTCCTCATGCTATGGAGTGCTCGCAACTCCAAATCTCGTGAGAGCTCATAGCCAAAAGCGGATTGGCACTCCTACTTGTATCAGCTGTTCGCGATACACCTCATCATTGTGACTTTCCTGTTGTTCGAATCAGCATCATCTCTGCTTCTTTCGCCGACGGCCAAATCTAGTTTCCACCGGTAAGTCGAGCTCAACTTTTTCTTCTTCGGTTTCTGATTCCGAAAACTCGGCTCTCCAGCGATTGCATCATCAGCGCGACTTTTCGCTTGTGTGAAATTCCGTGCTGCATCTCCGTGAAGAACCGACACCCGTCGGGCTCTGTCAGCCGAAGCCTTATCGCTCTTACCCCACACAGCTGCTCATGCTCGGCAAATTCGTCGCTCCGGTGTGGCACAATCGAGGAGTCCACCGTGATACCGAATGTTGGGCCGGCCGACCACCAACAATCGAAGATCCCGGGATGATCCCCGACGTGGGCGGTCACGGAGCCCTCATCGAGCTCGGGCAGTTCAAACTGCAACCCACGAGAAAATATCACTACCGTTTCGCCGCTACGGGCTGTCCTTCTTACGAGATCCGGGAGCAACCTATGGGCGATATCGCCGCTGTAGGGTTCGATCCGCAACAGAGATCGATAATCGTTGGTAAATCCGAGGGAGGCATCATTCATCAGGATCCCGATTCATCAGAGTCTAGGATTCTTGACTTCCCGAGACCTACCGGCATCAAAGTTCAAGATTTCAGGACGGACTGCGTGACCGTCGGCGTCGCCTCCAGGAATTCGGTCGCTGCTTTCCGCGGCGCGGAAATTGTGGCCAAGGTCGAAACCCCAAATGACATCACGAGCTTTGATCTCAGTCCGTATATTCAGTCGGAGCTACTGACCTGCTCTCGGAGATCCGTAATTTTGGGTGACGAAACTTTCGAGCTGAAATTGAGGTCCATTCCTGAAGATGTCGTGTTTTTCACCCATCCGAGGCACCTCGCCGTCGTGTACGCAAACTCCGTTATTCATTGTGATGCTCGAACTCCGAAAACAACTTCGAAGATCGCTGACACCGACTGCATGAATCTCTTGCCCATGAACTGCTTCTCTTTTGCGAAGCTCAACTGCAAAAACGTCAATCAACTGCTCGTTCTCAGCATCGACAGTCTATCGGTCTGGGATGTTCGATACTCAATACAGCCCATGGGAGTCTACAATCATTACGTACCGCGAGCCGGTCGAGCCTTCGGGATGCAAACTCTCCAGACCGAAGACTCGCTGCTCGTTCTGGTGCAGTCGAACTCTAAGAGTACGCTCTTCGAGTTCGACCCTTCTTTCCCGAGTCCGAGCGCTATGCTGCTCGGTCCCCAAATGCAGTTCGGTTCGCCTCCGGACATCGGCCTTCACTATTGGGACCAGACCGGAAAGAAACTCCCTGACGATATCTGGAAGCGGTTGACGCAGCCCATCGCAGGGAGTTGTATCGTTCCCAGTCGTGACAACCCCGATGAATTCTCTCTGCACTCATTCACCGAGACGGGCGACTGGTTCAAGCAGAGAATTTTGCGGCGTCCAGAGGATGACGATTCGGTTGCTATCGAGCGGACTTTCGCCTATGGCTTAGACGAAATTCCAATGAACGCCGATCAGCGAGCGGGAGTTGAGGACCAAGTGAAGAAACTCCTGAAAGACCACCCCACGAGCGCTCCGCTCATGCTCGATCCGACGGTTTCTCTCGGTCGTCTCAGAGTGATTTGGGAAGACTATTTCTTCGTCAACACCGGCTGCCCCGTTTGCTCCCCAGCATGCCCCCCTTGGTTGGATGGGAATCCATGCTTGAATTGTGGCTTGGGTGAAGCAGCAAAGATTCTGAACGACGCGTGGCTCGAAGGAGGCCTGATGAGTAAGAACGAAGAGCTCACCGAAGAGGAAGAAAGTCGATTTAGAGAACTGCTCAGTCAAAACGCGGGTGGATACCAAGTTTCCGACTCCGTGAAAGCGGCTTGGGGCGAAGTAGATTGGCGAGTCACCGGAGAAGCAGTAGCAGATGTCACCCTAAACGACGCCGATGCTCCGGGCGAAGCCGAGGAACAAGTCGACATTTATGATGATGATGGAGAATGAGCGTGCTAATGTAATTGTTGAATTTTGTTGGAGGCTCAATCACAGCTTCGATTGAACCGCATTTTCGATTGTGATCTCACAAATTGTTCAAATCCCTCGGGGCATGAGCTTCTTGTAAATTGTTTCTCACAATGGCCTCGGCCCAAGAATGAAAAATAAATCGTACCCTTCCATGGGAACTGCTGGGCAATTTATTCTAGATACGCCCTCTCAGTTCGATTCCTACGGAAGACAGGATTCGAAGGGAGGTTAGTCAATCAATCTAAGAATGATTCAACCCTGATTCCAGCGGAGGCAACACTGGCCCAACACAAACATGAGTGACTACTCATATTCGTATCCATGCACGCATATACGGTTAAGCTCAGTAGTCGCCGACGAGCTCCGCAAAACATGTGAGTCGATGGACGGTTCGGATGACTACTTGATCGAGCTCCGGAGCCATCTCTCGACAGACAAACCCATGCCTTTCAAGCTCATAAAGACCTTCTGGGAAGAACATAAAAGTGAGTCCTCCACCGCGAGCCGACATCTACTCCGCTTATATTTCGGGGAGTCGAGCGAGAGGGGTTCTACGTCTCGTCGATCGAAGAGGAATAATTATTCTAAGCGCCTTGCTCGATTACAGAAGGGACGGCGCTGCATAAATGGATCTCAGGCTGCGCTTTGATTCTTCCTGAGGTTGTTGTACCACCCCGAAACGACGAGCTGGAGAAAAGATGTCAGAAACTCCGCGCACAACAGAGCCATGCCGAATACAACAAAATGGTAAAAGGAATCGATAAGAAAGTACCCACAGAAGCAGGGTAAGATATCACAAATCGTCGAGATCGACACGAAAAGGAAAAATAACGTGCTTACGAGGGTTACTCGCGGCTGACTTTGGATCTTTTGCTCGACAGGGAGCGCGCGATCTGGAGGGAGATACGGAATCAGTACATCGCAGTGATAAACATGGTGCTGACGATCGGAGGAACTTTTGTGTTTGTTTATAAAGCTGTGGAGTATTCGCTGCCTGCGCCGAACCCAGCCGCTCAAACTCTGTTGGGTATTTTTGCCTGTCTTGTTGTGGCCACAGCAGAACTCTATTTCTTGCTGAGAGATTTGAGTTGAATAGAATATTTATGGAGTTTCGTGCGTGAACCCTGGACACTATTCCGAATGAAACAGGTTAGGCTGTGAGAGTGAACGATAGCTTTTGATGAACAAATTGAATCCTTGGTCTTCTGAATAAACGCGGCGAGGTATCCGGTCGTCTCGAGACTCCACTTTTTGATCAAAGAGATATCTTCCGTCGCGGACAACAGCGAAGAACGAGCCGGGGCCGATGGAAGATGACAACAGTGCACGGACTTCAAAGGCAGCTCGCATCGTCTCCCTTCACGCTGCCCAGTGGTTTCTTGCGTCCGGTCGGCGGGGTTTCACGTCGAATGCCGAACGTTGGAAACTTGGGAACGCAGAACCCGGGGACGGCTCCGAACAAGAAAACTCATCAATCAGAAATCATGAGCGCTCCATCTGGCGAAGAGAGCGAGTACACCTCTGAGTGCCGGTCTTTTTCTTCGGCGCTCAGAATGGATTCTTCTTGAGGAATCCACTCCCGCCGTGATCGTGATTTATGATCCGGATGAAATCTCGGAGTGCTGATGGCATGATCTCGTACATCCCTAGGGAGTACCCTTGTCGCCGAGCAGAGGGAGATTTCAAAGAACGACGAATTGAGTCGGGGCTTTTGTACAACGCTTTCATTTAAACGTTACTTCTCATGGACTTTTCAAAATCTACAACTTGTTTCGCATGACTCCTCGCGATTTTGAGGAGTATTTCACTTGTGCGGCCAGTTCCGATGAGATCCTGAAATTCGAACCCCTTATGTAGAGGCTCACATTCTTTGGCTGAGTAGCCAAGCGAAGGTCGTGAGCGAGAAATGTAGTCGGCGAGGGCGCCAGCAACTCACCACTGCGAAGGTTCGACAGATCGAGAACAATTTTTTCCCACAGGTGGTGAACAACTTGTGCTTCAAATCGATACCGAGTTCTTCCAGAGCTCTGGCTACAGCTTCCCGGAGTTTCCGCTTAAGTTTATCGTTATCGACGGCATCGGTTCGCATTCTCTTCGGTGCGTTCTGGAAAGGACGACCCAATTTTCTTCCCGGTTAGCGCTCCGAGGGTCCCACGGGGACGAACTAAGAGTGGCACTCTATAAGTACGAGTTTGTTCCAGCCCACCTGTCGATCTTCCGATTGATCCGACTGAGAGAAAGGCTTCGCTCGCAATCTTCTCGACCGCGCATCTGTGGCCGGTGCCGTGTTTCGCTCGGCGGGTTGAGAGTAACTCGGTCCAGCGGGAGGAGATGAATTTGAAACTTCCCGGAGGATATCACGGAAGGGATTCCTCCTCAGAATCTGTGAGCTGTTCCTGCAAGTTGAATTATAATGCTTCATTGTATCAAACACCGTATTTCAGGTCGGCCATCAGGGGACTGTCCATCACGATAAGGAGAGGCAGAACAATAGTTGTAGATGGAGCACGAAACTCCCGCACGCAATTTCTTTTCGTAGTACCTCTTCGGACTCTTCTGTTTTCGTGGACTCCGACGCCGGTATTGTGGACTCGCTTCGAATAGGGTCTTCCTCGGCGATTGTCGTAAATTAGAAGACTTCTGCCTAACTATACAGGTCGTGGTTGCCGATGGTCCCAAGCAATTTGAGAAAGGATGTCTGATAACGGCATCCCTCCAGCGCTGACAGTGTCTCTCCCAGGCCTCGTCTTCTACTGACCGATTATAACTATAAATCGATGTAATATCATTAAGATGATTGCTGCGAGAGCGACTGTACTCTGCAAGGGGAACGGGGGACGACAGAATCGTCTGAGGAGCTCCTCTATTTCGGAGATTCAGAAAAGTCCGCCAAGTCTACCCTCAAGACCGCTCAGGACTGTGAGGTATCTTAAAGACCAAGATCGCGCAACCAGAAAGTGGAAGACAGGGAACTTGGCTGCCTGTCGGTGCTCTTGAACGTGCCGACCCGCCTCACAGGAGACCAATAGAGCCTGTCCCGGCGGGTTCATGGAACGGTACGCGACGAAAGGGAAAGGAAAAATGATCGCTCCAACGAGCTCCTGAGGAAGCGCATCTTGCTAGACTATTACTCACTAAACATCGTGACAAGTGTGCTTCAGTATCTCCGGCCAACACGAACTCTTTGCTTCCTCGATGCCAAGCGTCGGTCGGAAGGAAAAGTTCCCCATGGGTATTGGCTCTGCATTTTCTGTCGAGTCCACAGCTTCCCCGGTGCCCACATTGAATAGTGCGACGATAGCTGGTGCGCTCAGCGATAGGACTGAAAGGAATCCTCGTCGTATTTTAAAAATCGATGAATGCCCCCATAAACTTTAAATGAGCAGATCGCAAGGAGATATGTACCACGTTGATTTCGAACTCACCATTGGATTCATGACTCGTCGGCGGGGGTTCAAAAGTGAGGAGGTTGCGTTGAGGCCACTCGCTCGGGTCGGCCAGATTGGAAACTAGATAGGGGAAGAGCATTCGCGGAAAACCGTCCTCAATTAGTGATTGATAATAATATGATGATCGTCGTATCCCTAAAACTCATCGGGAAACTGACTTGGAAAAACTGCAGGAAACTCACTAGGATCGATGACGAATGTCTCTTCGTATTCATCGAGGAAGGGCAGCTGCTTGGCTTGAGGCAGGCAGACCGGGTGATACGGTTGGAAGCGAGACAGGAAGTCTATATTGACGCTCCGCACCAGCGGGAATACCTCTCCGTGAGCTGCAGGCGGACCAAAAAGCGCTGTATGAGATTCCTTGCAGAAATCGCTCTGGATTGGATCGATTTTGTAGAGAAGACCCCACCTGACACCGCGAAATGCATCGAGACCGTTGTTTCCACGTTTCCGGGTGGACATTTCAACGCCCCTGACATGACACATTCCCAAAATTTCTCCGAACTGCGTTCCGTTTCCTCGAACTCTTTTGCTTGGCCTTCGATTCCATTGATTCGAACGAGAAGACATTCCTGGATTGTACAAGGTATTTGCTCCCTCAAATGAGCGATGAATGTCGACACCCAATAATGATCTTACTCCGAGCTTACATTCGCGCTTATCTGATATTTCCTAAAGATGTCGGTATCGGTAGTGTACATGTTTACGCCAGGCGCAAAATAATGGAGAGGAATCGACTGCATGGAGACGGATCGCACGACCTCGATATCGCTGCACCAGCGCACCGCGCCACCTTCACATGAATCCTCTGGATGGGGCTGAAAGACGGGTGAGGGGAGATAGCTAGGAGCCGGAGAACCCCCATTGCGGGTGAGATCATGACACGAGATCATCGAATTCACGCTGACGGACCTTCTCGTGAGCCGCGCTGACTAGATCTCGATCCAAAAGCTCCAAAGCGAAATGTAGAGGTTTTCCTCCTAGGCGAGAAGAGAAGAAAACCCTGGGGAGAGGCTGTCGTTCGAGTCCCCTGTTTCTCCAGTGCAAATCGGCAATGAGACGCAAACTAAGCGAAATATTCCTGACCTATCCTCCGGAGTGATGACCAAAGATGATCCGATACACTTCAGCCAATCTTCAAGAGAGGACCTTCCTCCCCCGCCACGCAGAGGATAGAACGCAGCTTTCTCCCAGACCGCAGCTCGCAAAAGAGTGCCGGAGAGGTAATCACAAGTTTCACTGAAATAAGAGTCAGTCGAACAATGAATTTTAAACCCACACTCGCGCGGGCAAAGTCTGATCGGAAAACGAAAACTCTGCGAGAGTACCGCTTGTGGGGGGCTCTTGTCGATCCGGAAGCTCCCGCGGGGAAACTTACTTGATGCGCCAGTAAGGCACGAGCTCTTCGTCTACCACAACATGCACTTTCGCCGAATCTGGCATTGCTAAGGTATCCAGGAGGACATCGATGACAGAACCGGCGGCATCAGAATGCTGGAAATGAGACTTGCGTCATGACACGCCCCCACAATGGAGACATGAACTAGGTGGCGGGAGGTTTTTTCTTTCTCGATGACGCTCGAAATTTCATGCTTTCAGACGATGCTCAGTCGTTCGGGGAGCAATCAGAGCCGTATCAGAAGGGTAGGTATGAGTATGCACCCGGGTCAATTTCGATCATACGGTGAGTCAGAGGAATTCGGCCCACCAACACTCATGGAGTGCCTCCATCGGTAGGGACAAGCATGAGGTGAGAGCTTCAAAGCGTGCGCCCCTACATGACAGATTCTTGAGATTGAAGGGGGAGCTACCGAGACGCCAGATATCGAACCTTGATCAACACATTTTCGTTGACACCTTCACCGTGTTCCCGCAGAGTCTCGCATATTGCTTCGATAGCGTGAGGGGCATCCTCGAAGCTGGTATCATACCAGCATTTTGACTGGAATAGAGAATTTCCGCACATTTTCCAACGAGATAGCGGATCAGTGATCAGGAAGGGAACAAAGAGGGTGAATCGAGCTCGACCGGGCTGATTCCGCTCCCGGTTGAGGATTCTTCCAGCATGTGAACCCACGAGATTGAAGCAAGCTGTATGAAGCGTGAGGCATGCCGGGATAATTGCGACTCGTAATCGCCCTTCACAATCGATGAGCTCTCGCAGATGGCTCACGCCCTTCTTCCGCATGTGATTGACGATCAAGCGATGCTCCCTCGCGAAATTCGAAATGAATTCTGACGCAAGGCAGTGATCAGAAGCATCTGGAAGTAGGGTTGACCTTTCATCTCAGCACCAACTCACCGCCGAAGGGGGACGAATGACCGAATCAAGACAGTGTTTCCAGAAAGGACAATACGTTGTGGCTTGAACGGCTCGCGATTCCGATCATCTGCGGTTCGATATATTCTAAACCTACCTCGGGTCAGGAAGAGAATATGATGCCTCATTCTCTCGAATCATCGATATCACAAAGGATCCATCAATAAAAATCTGAGCCTAGTCGCGAGCCGGGACACCGAGCATTCGTCACCTCGAGATCAGCTGGTGAAAGCCCGCGCTGAATGATGATGACAACACGCAGACAGAGAAACGGGGCTCCACAAGTGTGATGCGGTTACCGACATGGGATGCCATCTAGCGGAATCCGCGACAAGCTGCATTGGCGTATGGCTGCTCCCTAGAGGAGTAATATGTAAAGGTTTCTCGCCTCTCATCGGTTCCCCGAGGATAGTGGACCTGTGAATTCGGTCAGACGAACTGCTCCACCAGTCTCGATACCGCGACAATCTCCGAGCATCGCGCATTCGATGAACTCTGATTCGATATATCGAAGTAGGCATAAGTGATAATTGATGACTAGTAGGTGATATACCGCGAATTCTAGGTAATTGAATGGTATGCTCGTCTATTTTTCGAGCCTCCGAAACCTGCCCGGCAGGGATGATTTTCGGCTCTACAAAGTCCCCGTCTGATTATGCAGTGCTCGAATGTTTGAGACTTCCGCGTCTCAAAAAAAACCTGCTCCTCCATCAGAGACTGCTCGTATGGTCGAGACTGCTCCTGAATTAGGTACCTAGAATATTCACGATAGATCGTGATGAGCTCGCCAGAGCACCTTTTCTCAGGTCCTGCCAGCGAAGGAATCTTTGTTCTGGGTTTGGTAATTATTTCCACAGTTTCCTCAGTCGGGGCAATGGGCGATAGTCCGGACTCGGGTCACCGAACTCTAATATTATTTAGCCGCGAAGGATGGTTTTCGGTCAAAGGGAAGCATAGATTGCACACTGTCTTGCATGTCGAAGGCTGAGCTCGGGGCTCCTCTTCGGAAGACCGTTCACGATCTCATCAAGAACTGGGAGTGGTCAATCTGACCTATTGATGTTCCTGCTTGGCAATGAAGATGACAGCATTTTCGGGGCTCGTTATTTTTATTCTTGAATCCACCCAATGTTACTCGAAATATCATATACATTCACTAAAGGAGCTTCGCAATTCCCGAAGCGGGTTTCAAGGGCTTTTGACTGTATACCTAGAGCATAAACGCGTATAGATGCCTACATCTGAGTGAGAACAACCGTTTGGTAGATTCGCAAACAGAGCCTCACCCCAGGACCCAATCGAGAGATTCGCGTCGGGAGCAATAAACGGTACTTAGTTTCGGGAACCGGGCAAGAAATCTCCTCCTTCTCCTGCATCTGATGAAGGCCTAACGTGACGGTCGCTCGACTATGACGAATCTCATCACGGGAAAGACTGTAGCTTCGAGGTTTGCTACCGAGATTTTCCGGGTGAAAACCCCTCCGCTTGTATCGGATATGCGTTCGGTGTACTCCACTTTCTGCCCTCGCTTGAAGACTCCTGTATCGAAATCGATGGAGTACCGTTGTTGGCAGGAAAATTCCCACGAGCAGTGGTAAGGTTCCGGAGTTACGGGCTCTTTGGCTTATCCGCGGCCCTCTACACCCGTGGCTGGCCTCAGCGGGACGATTCCCGAAGGAACGAATTCCACTGCATTCGGGGACAAGCGAACATTGGAGCTCCGGGGGCTGAACTCCTTGGCGAAGGGTGAAAGGTTGGATTGCATCTTCTGTTGTGCGTGGGTTGGGCTGTTGAGGTGATGAAGTCTTCAGTCCACGATCTGAGGTGATCTGTGAATCATGATCTTCGCGAGTCTTTTTGTACCTATCTCCGATCAGAGAATTTGCGCTGAGAGGATTCGGCGCCTAGAAGAGGGTGAGAGTGGATACACCACCGCTAGAAATGATCGCAGCGATTCCAAGAATGTAACCCCCGGAGCCATTGATCTCTCTCACTAATGAGTCCAGGCTCTTGAGAAAAACGGATTAGATGCTCACCACTAATGAATCAGGTGAACAAGTGAGTCGCTCTCTGAGTCGCGCATTCCTGCCGATTAGGCTCGAATTCCGATTTTGGAACGCTCACGACCCACGACCTTGCAAGACATTCTCTGCCCGTATGATACCTCAAGACGGAAGATCTCTCTAAGCGTTATTTCTGCCGGATACAGAGTGACGAGGGCAACCTCAAGATAAGTGGAATCGGCGTGACAAACCCGGGTAATCATGGTTAGGGCTGTAAATTCTTCGCGGCGATCGCGGGATTCGCGGAAATTTCCGGCTACTCCCCATAGAGTTTCAATGGAAGCCGCGGGTTTCGACGAGGAACGGAGCGTGAGGGTTACCAGACTCCCGCAAAAAGTAGCCCCCAGTTTTTGCGATAGGCTGCTTCTCTGATTCAGATTCTTGACGCACCATCCTCATGAAGTTGCTCTTGCCTTGTCGGAAGCATTATCTGATGCCGACCGGTGAATCATCATCAGAGTATCATTCTACCTTGCGCCTAAAGAGGGATCACGACTAGATTCTCGATGCGATGGAGCTGAAATTGAAAGGAGGATTGGGTTCCGAGGTTTTTCTCGCTTGCAGCTCGATGCCTCCGGAACTTCGCAGCCCCGTACCCTCGACGATTCTGGCAGAGTGTTTCCTTCGTGGCTTATTCTCAAGGAGCCGTTCTGAATATGGTCCCGATTTTGGCACGGAGTCGGCGCTGCCTTAACGGTATCCTGTGTGTATCTCAACTCTGACGCCTAGTATTATTATCAATATACTAGCGCTCCCGGTCGCCGCTTCGCGGCGACTCGGTATCGCTAGACTCACTACACATGCGCTAGCTCCGAGTGCGCTGGCTCCGGGTGCGCTGGCTCCGGGTGCGCTGGTTCCGGGTGCGCTTTCCCGTTTCCCCGCTTTCCCGTTTCCCCGCTTTCCCGTTTCCCCGCTTTCCCGTTTCCCCGCTTTCCCGTTTCCCCCGCTTTCCCGTTTTCCCCCGCTTTTCCCCGTTTT